AGGGACCTGGAAAAGTAGGAGGGCAGAGAGGACTAGAGGAAGAAGTTAGAGGCTACTCCCGCGATGAAGAGACGGAGGCTCAGAGAATGGCAGAGCCGGGCCTTGGCTGTACTCGTGGGACCCATCCTTGGCAGATGGATCCCACCCCAGCCACGCCCAGCACTCACCAGGCGGGGCTGGGCCCACACCTGGCCCAGGGGTGCAGGGCCCGCCTTGCAGCCAGCCTGCCTCCATCTGAATACAGCTCCGGGGCAGCGCTGGCTTCGTGGTCTTGGGCAGGCCCCTCTGTGCTCCTGAACTGCTTCTATAAAGCGGTGTCGCAGCAGTAAGTAGCTCCCTATCAGGCCCTTTCAGGGCTGTGTGTGCCGACGTCATAAAGACGCCCGATTTACAGCACCACACAGCGTGGTGATCTCCTTCCCGGCCAGGAGGCCTGCCGGCTCTCCTGCCTGCTGAGCTGGGGCAGCTTTGGGGCTGTCTGGTGAAGGAAGTTGTGGGCTGGCCAGGCCCTGTGCCGGAGAGGTAAGCAGGCCCCACTGAGCCCGGGCCCTCACTGGGCTTCCGTCAGAGGCACAACCGCCCCCACCCCCACCCCCATGCTATTTGCACGTACCAGTGGGGCTTGGAGACATTTGGGGAGCACTTCCATTACCCTTTGTTTCCATTCCTCCACAGCTTTTTGAAGGCCCTCCTCATAGACCCTAAAGTCACAACAGTGAGCCAGTACCAGCGAGGGTAGAGCTGGGGCCACGGTCTAGTCTGGGGAGCTCTGAAGTCAGGAAGGCATCTCTGAGGCAGGGACTTTGGGAACGGCCTCTGAAGCATGCCTAAGAGCAGTGAGCAAGAGACGTTAGAAGAGCGGGTGGGAGCATAGTAAGCAGGGGGCAGGCAGCATGTGCAAAGGCCCTGAGGGCCTAGGAAAAGGCCAGGCCACTACTGGCTGTGTGCACAGGTGAGTGGGCCAGGCGGGTCTCAACACACCCGGGACACATTTGGTGGTCAATGAGGGGGCACGATCAACGTTCACGGGCCCTGGCTGTGCTATGGGGGATATTTGAGGAGAGGAGTGGGCATGACGGAGGCCATCTGGGAAATGACAGTAAGCGAGCCAGAAGAAAGGCAGGTGATTGCTTGGACCAAGGCAGCGGTGGAAATGAATAAAGACCTTGGGATGCAAGGAGTGTCCTGTGATAGGACCTTGGGTGGGTCAAGATCACTCTAGCCTATGCGGCTGACGAGGCAGACTCTTCACAGAGATGAAAGCACACAGCAGCCCCCTGATGTGGCCAGTGTCCGAGCCTCCAGTCCACCATTCCAGGCCGCTGTCAATCCATCTCGTAGTTTCTCAGGGGAGGAAACTGAGGCTAGCTTCTTGTGCCCCTCCCTGCGGGTCAGGGCAGACTGCTGGGTGTACAGGCCAACACAATGGGACTGGCAGGCCACGTCTGAGCCTACGAAGCGCAGTTCTGGGCTCCTGGGGAGATGGGATGAGTAATCCCGATAATTGAATTTTTGAGTTAGACTTAAAATACGGCCAAGATTGAAAAGGCAATTTGGCAGGTCCGGGGCTCCCTCAGGCGTTTCTCTGCCTCCATAAGGCCGGTCTTATTAACAAGATCACTCTTTCTCCGTCCACCCGCCTTCCACCGGCAGTGCTCGGGCCGCCACGCGGGGAACTCAATTGTGGGCCCCCAGGTCCCTGCTCTGCTCACCCTGGGACGTTTCATCAAAAAGGGCAAGGTGAGTGCACTTTGGCCGATAAATGGAAGGGAGGGCTGCTGAGTTTGGCAAAGACGCTTGCTGGCCAAAGAAGAAACTCCAGGGGTTCGAGAGCTGACAGGTGGATTCAATCCATGGCTGGGGCACGTGCCCCGTTGGGGTGTTGTGGATGGATGACATGATGCACACGGTTGGGTGCTGGCCTGAAAGATCGCGGGGCTTGCACCCAAGCTCCTCCAGGAGGGAGGCCCAAAGCCCACTGCCAGGGCGGGGCTGGGGCACAGCGCCCGGGCAGCCTGGTGCGAGCCTCTTCTCTATATATAGTCCCTGCAGCTGGTTCGCTCAGGTGCTGCTCCTCCGGCACACGTGGTGATTAATTTCACCGACGATGGGAAATTGACGCATTTTCTGATTACTGCTTCAGAGCCTCCTGAATTCAGCTGCTGGTAAAATTAACTCACCAGGGACAATGGAACTTTTCTCAAGGTCCAAATTGTCCTTATTTGCAGTTTGTTCTTGGCCCTCATCCAGCCCAAACAACCCAGCCTGCTTCCCACCGCGATGTGAGTGGGACCTGCACTTGCGCAAGGTTGGGAGTGTTTCCACAGGATGCTAACATGGGAGGGGGGTGCAGACTGTGCTTTGGGGGCTACTGTGACCCTGCAGAGCCCTGGGAGAACTGCTGCAGCACGTGACCAGCAGCGCCCGCCCCATGCCCCTCAGCCCCAGGCACTGTGCAGCCCAGGCAAGGCGACCAGAAAGGGCTGGGCACTGCCCGAGCCCAGAGGGAGTGTCTCCTCAAATCCTTCCAGCCAGACCCCTGCCAACAGCCAACTTCGTCCCCGTCTCCCATGCCACAGATTCATTGTGCCAAGGCAGGAGGTAGTATTGCTCCCTGAACACCCAGGTTTTCCAAAGCAAGGTCTGGGATAGAGCCTGAGCCCAAGACTGACTTCCACACCTGAGCTCTATCCATTATGTCTACAGCCTATACAGGTATGCTCGTGCACACACCAGTCATCTAAGAGTTCTCCCCAAACTTGAGACCAGCCGGTGAGAGAAACTGAGTAGTCATTGATTCTGGAGACAGTCTTCTTGTCTGAGGCTCCAGACAAGTCTAAGTCAAGACTGGCCACGGAGGCAATTCCACCCTGCAGATGTCCACTCTGATACAGGCCTTACTCCCTACCCCCCAACACTCCACACCGCCCTGCCGGTGGGTCAGCGCCGACAAAGAGCTGAACTGCCCTTGAGGAGCCGTGGGTCTTCTTGAAAGGGAACTGCCACATGGCCCCTGGCTGCCGGAGCCTATGTGCAAGCACCTGACAGAGAGAGCACAATGACAGGCTGGTGCCCCAGGCCCTCACACTAAGTGGATGAGGGAAGGGGGGAGGGTGACTGCTGAGCAGCCATACCCTTGACACTGTGCAAAACTGCTGCGCCCCCCCACCTACCCCCACTGGGCCTCGAGCCAACCCGATCAGACCAGCTCGAATCCCCCTTATCTCTGGGAAGCTGTGGGGTAGCAGGGAGCAAGCACCCTGGGTGAGGAGTGTGGATGTACAGGAGGGCTCAGGGCAGGCCACCAGCACTCAGAAAACTTGGGTGAGTCATTCAGGCTGCCCTGACCACCACTGTGCCACCTGGGTGTCCGGGTCTGGGCAGCGGAATGGTCACATCACTAAGTGACCATAAAAAAGCCAAGCCTGGTGTGTTTCTGGGCTCTGAGGGTGGGCTGGGTCAAATGCCAGGGATTGCCACCGAACTCTGCTCTCTAGAAATTCAGCCTGGGGTATGTGGGGGGCTACAGGAGCCCAGAGGCCGAGGACTCCCCCAAGCAGGGATCGGGTGGTTGCTGTAGGGCCCTATGGAGCACTCTAGGAGAGGCGCACCTCAGAGGAGCATTTCAAAAGAGGGGCACTTGGAACTCGCCGGGGCAGGCCAACAGGCTGCCTGAAGGCTCAGTGCCATGAGGTGAGGGGGATCTGGAGGGGCTGGCAGGGCCCAGACTTGGGGCCCTTGTAACCCTTCTTAGGGGCCTGGGCTTGTGAAGATAACAGGAAGCCACAACAGGGTTTGGGGCAGGAGCGCCTCCTGGTCAGATGCCCGGTTTTTCTAACCACCTTGATTCTGCAGGTCAGGGGGGTTTGGGTGTGGGGAGCGGGACTGGAGAGAAACCTGACTGACGTAACTGAGGCTGAGAAAGCAGTGATGGACAGAGGGAGATCAAGGGATGGAGAGATCAGGCCTTCTAAGAGGTCGGAGCAGAGATGGGAATGAGGGAGCAAGCCAGAAAGGAATCCGGTGAGAGGGAAACGTAGATCAATAGTTTCTGAGGGATTACAAACAGCGGGCTCGTCCACACGGGCGCTGCAGGAGGATGGCTGGGGGAGTGGGATCACAGAGGGAGACTGAGCCAGGGCTGGAGCATGCCTGACTGCGGGTCACGCATGCCCAGCCACCCACCTTAAAGCTGGTGCCTGCTCTGTGACACCAAAGTGGCAGAGTGGGGCAGGGCAGGGCAGTCCTGGGCCATTTCAAAGATGGCCTCGGGGCCCCGTTCTGCTCATGTTCCTCACGGGCCCCAGGTCAGTCTTGACGGAGCGAGGTGAAGGAGAAGCCAGCACACGAAGGTCAGTGACGGGGCTGGAGCAAGCAAATCACTGGGCAGCAGCACGGGCAGGAGCGGCACCTCACTGTCATCCCCAGGGCAGGGGGAAATGCCGGGTGCCAGCCTGGCCTCCCGCATGCTCTGTCCTGAACCACGGAGGGTGCCCCTGATGGCTGCTCTGCAGAGGACAGGTCGCAGAGATGCTGAGCGCAGCGGCTGTGGGCACCAGGGCACTGGCCACCTGCGTGGAGAGCCTGGCCACTCTGGGCCAAGGGGCTTGGCAGCAGTGCCCAAGGTCAATGGGATATCCACGACCCTGGCAGGCCCCCACTGGGAGTCTGGGACCTGGGCTCTGAAGCTGCACATGAAAAAACAGAAGAATCAAGTCGAAACGACCTGAGTCATTCAAACGGCGGTGCTGCCTGGTACGAAGCTAGCCAGGGGCTAGTCTGCGCCACAGCAATGCCTCGTATCCAGGTACCTACACAGGCCCAACTCCCAACACCTGGGCTCCCGGAGCCTTTCAACACCTTTCTTACCGAGCACCGGGCCTTGTTTCCCAGCAGCCCTTAAACTCACGCCAGGGCAGAAAACCTAACGGGGAAATGGGTTTGCTGGGTCATGCCAACTGGACTTGAACACAGAACAAAGAGACGGCGAGAGGCCTCAGTGGAGCAGCACAGGTTTATTGGTGGCACACTCTCCTCAGGAGCCTGGGCGGCCGGGACTGGCTGTTCCTGGGTGCACTGCTCCGGGCCTGAGCTGCGGGGGAGGAGACACAAGGGAGACTTTTAGGTCCAGTGAAGGGTTTCTGAAGTACGAGCCAGACAGAGCGAAGACAAGAATCCACTCTCTCATCAGTCCGTACTGAGCGAGCACGACGGCAATGCAGTCGTTTTGATGTGCCCGTTCAGGAACTGTCCCCCAGGAGCGTCCCAAGTGCCAGCACTGTTGGCGTGGCAGCGCCCTCAGAAAGTCAGCATAAAACCCAAAGATCCGAGCCAACACGCATGGCAGAGTGGTAAGCCGAAGCGTCTCAGGCACGGCGGGCCTTTCAGTGCCAACTTGGTTTTTTAAAAGAAGTCCCTCTCCCTCTAACCCTGCACAGCCTATCCCCACCCCCGCCCTTCCCCCCAAAGGTTCAAAGAGGCCTTACTACCTCCAGGTTTCCCCTGGCTTTCCGGAGAATGCTGTGGGTTACAACCACTGTGGAGAGAAGGGAGAACGGGAAGATAAGAAACACATGGGTCCAGGAAGACCTGATACAAGTCAAGAACAGAGAGAAGGAGTGCCCCCCTCCCCCAATTCCAAAGGCCCCAGACCAGAGAGGATATGGAGGCCCACCTGCCCCAGCATCCAGCCCAGGCCCAAATCACCCATCCCAAGGAGAAAGGGTGGGCCACAAACCACCCTTTCAGCTAGGCATACCCTCACAGCATTGCCAGAAGGTACAATGTGTGGTATACCCCTCCTGGACCTCAGGCCTGAGCCCGGCACACTTTGCCCCGTTCTTTGAGCAGGCTCCTCAGGGCCTGGGAGGAAGGATTCCGTGGAGCCTGCCCTTTAACTGGCACAAGAGCCCAACTTGGTTTCCCTGGGCAAGTCACATTCCACTTGAAGAGGAGCGATGGATGGCGCAAGTTCAGAGGTTTCGGGCCACCGGACCTCTGAGCTGTAGCAAGGGCATGTCCTCACTGTATCCCAATTCCTGGAGGGAGGCCGGAGAAGCCAGCCTTCCAGGGGAGTGGCTGTAAAGGTAAGCAGAGGCCTCTCTTTCAGTCTTTTTCCAGCACATTCTCCAGCCACGGCTGAAAGGCTCCCATGGAGCACACAGCCTGCTGAGCCTGCTCAGGGTCTGTCCTGAGCAGGGCTAGAGGACGGGTGGGGAATCCAGATTATTCCCTGGGAGCAGGGTAGACACAAGGCCTCCAGAACTGGGCCTTTGCCAACAGCGCCCAAGGCTGGAACAGACCCCGCCCAAATCCACAGTGGCTTAGTCCACAAATAGTTGCCATGTTGTAGCTTTGGGAAACCATTTTTCTTGCCTTACAAAAAATTCCATCTGGAGGTAACAAAGTCTGTTTGCATTCCGTGGCACTGGGGAGAGGAATGGGGGCCCTGGGCTTCGTCTTAACTGGGCACACTGAGGCAGCCACAGTCTCTGGGTTGTCACCTTCACCCTCCCCTCAGGCTGCAGGGCAGCAGTTCTTACCTGGGGCTAAGTCCCCAGAAAAGCAGAACACGTCTGTGAGTGTAAGCCATGTATGCATTAGTCCTGGGGAGAGACACCATAGCTTGTCTTGATATTCACCGAGGGGCCTGTGACCCAGAAAAAGGATTTCACAACTGCAGCTGTTAAAAATAATTCTACACACATTTCTCTGAAAAACAGCTCAGAGAAGAACTAAGGATTCCCTGCCCTAAGTGAGGACGTGAGACACGCCAGCTCTCAATGTGCTGGACGGGGCCGTCGTCTGAGCAGCACTGCCCCGTCCCAAAGCACAGTCGTCCCACTGATGAGGGCAGAGAGCTGACAACTTGCCCCACCAAGTATAGACGTGACTTTCACCTCAGCAGAGTGCTGGGAGGGCTGCCGCTTTTCGATTGTGGCCTCAGGCAATCAGCCCATCCCTGGGGGGTGGGTATTCCTGTCCCCCTGAGGACCTGCACCTCACTTCAGGAGGGAAGCGGGCAGCCACGTCGAGATGCCCTCTCTGTACATTCCCCTGGAGACTCTGGAAGGAGAGAGCGTCTTCACTCTCGTCTCACACAGGGACTGGCCCTTGCTTCACTCCAAGCTTCATGTTGTCACATTAGAGCCAGAGAGAGACCTGCAGGGCTGGTGAGCTACAGAGCCTTGTCGATGCGGGGCAGGGTGGCAGCACCTGCCGTGGTTAAGAAGTGTTGAGACACTGGCTGGTTTTCTATTAGTGTTTGGGCCCCCAGCCATGGGATCCAGGCGGACCCAAGGCAAAGAAGCAGGGCGCTAACACTTTCTGAGCATCTACTCCATTGTCATGCCCACTTCACAGATGAGAAAACAGGGGCTTTTGATGAAGCTGTGACGACACCAAGCATAATGCCCCACCTGCTTGCTGCTCCAAATGTCCCACAGCTCCCCTAGACATGCCCAGGACTGCGTGTCTCGCCCCCGCATCACCTGCTTACTCGCTCAAAATCCTTCTCCCCTCCACGACCCAGCCCCATCCTGGCAGCCTCACCACTGTCCCAAGGAACTCCACCAGCTGCCTGGGCCTCCATGCGCTGCCCTGGCTTCAGCTCACCAGGTGCTGTGATCTGGGCGCACCTCGTCCCCTTCTATTCCCTGGCAGAAGCCATGGTCCATCCCAAGCATGCTCTTCAACCCTCAATGCCCTCTCTCCCCAGGAGGGAGCCTTCCACTGGGATCCTGCTCTCCTGCCTCCACTCTTAACCTAACTCCAATTCGCCCCTCAAGATCCAACCAGTGCAGTGACGGCGCCTCTCTAGGTGCCTGGTATGCACCTGCCACACCAATGCCCCACCCCCACCCAACCAAGAAACAGATGCTCTGCCCTGTGCTCCTCTATCCTTAGAGCCTGGAGGGGACTGAGCTCTCGTCTGCAGCTCATCCTGCAGTCACAGAGACCATTTTCAGAAGGTTCCCCAGGGGGATGGCTAGGTAGAAGTCCTACCTGATAATAATCTGTGTTCCGTGCATCTGTCAGAAATGTTTGACTTTCCTAAGAGAGGGGCAATCGGCAGGCTCACTCTCCAGAGAGAAAGTGCTCCAGTCAGCAGTTCTCCTACCCGGGGGAACTCCACTCGGACCACCATGAGGCCTGGCCAGGGCTGAGCAGGCAGCAGGCACTCATACAAGCGGGTGCCAAGAAGGGAAACCAGGAGGAGCGGCCCCCTGAGATCAGAGATCAGCGGTGGACCACCTCTACAAAAGTCGAGGTTAATCTCTCGACCGGAGTTTCTGTCTGTCTCCTGATTCTCAGCAAGCCTTTCTCACATGCAGATGGGACAGGTGGGCCTTCTGCCGCTGCCCCGTCAGGCCTTTCCCAGTACAGCCCACCTCAACTCCAACTTGCAGCCTCCGTCCACCCACCAACATGGCCCTGCTTTGAGTCTCTCAGATGCAAAACCCTAGTTCCGTCTCTGCCTCGCCCGGTCCCTGTGCTGGACAGCACTGCTCCTTCCCCCAACACCTCCTCCTCCTCCTTTCGGACTCCGCTCCAGTGCCACTTCCTCCAGGCAGCCCACCTCCCAGGCAGAGTGGGGCCCACCCACTGGCCCTGTGACACCCGGTGTGCTTTCCCATCACTGCATACCCCACACGCCTGCCTCCTCACAAGTCACCCCCCTGGCCTGCCGGCAGTGCCGTGCAGGTCAGAACAGAGGAGTATGACATGGCGGCAGGGTGCCGGTGGCGCAGCCCCACTCACACTGATCAAAGATGGCCTTCTCCTGGTGCTTGCTCAGCTGCAGGAGCTTCACCGTGCTCTGCAGCTTCTGGTCTTGGTCGTACAATTTATGTTCTAACTTGGTAATCTCCGCCTTCATGTCTCCGACCTCAAAGGGAGAGGAAAAGAGAATGAAGAAGACAAAGTAGCATTAACGCACAAGAAGAGCTGCAAATACACATAAAAGGATGCCGAACCTCACTAAGGAAGATGCTTGAAGACAAACTAGAGGCCACTTTCTGCGGGTGAGCCTGGCCCGACCAGCCGGACTCCTGTGGAGGTGAGGGAGTGGAGCCAGCACCCGCAGGAGGGCACTCTGTCTGGGGCCACTGGGAGGCACCCTGGCCAACAACCCTCCCCCCTCCCCCATGTCTCCTGGGAGTGACGGCGGCACAAGAGAGGAGAGGCCTGGGCCCAAGACCAGGACGTTCACCACACTGAAACCTGGCCCAATTGGGGGCGGGGGGGTGGGGGGGCGTGTGCCAGGGAAAATGAACCAAATTGCTTGCGAACAACAGAAAGTGGAAGGCGATGCAGTCGGGCGAACTGGACATGCGGTGGCGTGGAAGGACGCCCAGAGTGGGCAGCGAGCATCGAGTGGCACATCCCATGGCCCCTGCAGATGTACGGCGGTGGTGCCCCCGGGAAACTCAAAGGTGCCACCACCTTGTGAGTCCTGAGGTCTCTGGGAGATGGGATCTGGGGTATCTTACTTTTCTCTTTTAAGTTACCTGAAGGGTTTGCTATTTTATAGAAATTCTGAGGCTCGTTTTAAAAAATGCCTTCAGTGTTTAGGCGTGAACACAGGATGGGCTACCAGAGGCCGCTCAGAAGCTAGGCTGGGAGAGAGCGGGTGGGCGGCCATTCGCACAGGAGGCTCACCCGCCAGTCCCCACTTCCCGGCTCCAACGAGTGAGCAGCTCCACGCCTGGGGCACTGGGACCCGCGCTGGCCGCTCTCTGCTGCCCAGCAACCGCCTGGTGCCGGGGCTGGGGGCTGGGGGCTGAGCCGTCTGTCAGCTCAGAGTCCCTGTCGTCTGCTCCCAAACTTGTGCATGGCAGTTGTACGTGTAATTAAATTACACAATTTAATTAAATATTAAGTAAACCCATGAATATGTGTACAAAAAGAGAGAACTGGTTGTATGAAAACTAACAGATGCTGCAGGAAAGGCTTGATGTAAAGGCAAGTCACTAAAAAACACATTTCTGGCAAATTACGTGTGGGAGAGACGGCGATAAAAGTGTGGGAGGAACAGCCTAGAGGAGTTCTAGATTCAAATTGCTTTGCAAGTGTCTTAAGTTTCTTCTTCATCTTAAAGAGCCAGACAGTGGAAGTGACAGACATACACTATGGGTGGAGCTTATGAAAGGACAACGAGGTGAACTCCGATCAGCATGTCCAGAGGAGAGGCCCTGGCCCACCATCACAGGAGCGGCAACCGAGGGTGGCCCCCGGCACAGGAGGGCAACCGCGGCTCAGTGCCAAGTTCAGCTGAGACGCTGACGGTGGAATCACTTCCTGCTTCCCCGCATTAGCACACTCCTGAGGCGAACCCAGCGTGTCAGGGACAAGGACTTCCGCTGCTCTCCCAAAATGGAGCTGATTTCAGCAGTGGGTTTTCTTGGATTCTCTTCTTCACGCTCAGAGCCCACACAGATGTGGGTGGGCCCATGGCTCCAGAGACCACAGGTTCCAGGAGAATGTTACCACATTCACAGCCTTGGCTCCACTCCTGTCCAGTGTGGGGTGTAATCCATCACTCATCTACCCCCTGCAGCAGAGTGAGACCCACACAGGATGGGGCCACAAGGCAGGTGAATAGAATGGTTGTTTCGCATCTGTCTGGCGAGCCCCGAGCCCTCTTTCTGAGACCAGAAACAGGCCTCACATACCCCCCGCCCCCGAACCCTACCCTCCAGGAGTTGAGGTGGGCGGCTGCTCCACTGGGTACCCATGGTGCCCGGAGCTTCCCCGGCCATTGTCCACTCAGCGGAGGGCAGTTACGGGGTGTTGACAGGTTTGTCTCCCTGACACAACAAGTTCCTCCAGCCTCTGTCCTCTGAGGGGCAGTGTCCGGCACAGGGCCTGCACAGGGTAGGTGCTGCAAGGCCACCTTCCTGTCAGTGGGGATCACTTCCATCCACCCGACCTAATGCCCGTGCAGGGTCTCTCCAGCACGCCCACAGGGAGTGTCTCTGTTTCCACTGAGGAAGACCTCCAAGTTACAGGACGCGTCTGTGACGGTGAGACAGCAGGTGCCCTGCCGCCCTGCTCTGCCTGTCTCTAGCTCTGTCGTGCTGGAGTCACGAAGCCTCCTGGGAACAGGGCCTAACCCTCTGAAGGTTACCACAAGGGGACATAAGCGGTGTGCGTGCCATGCAACGGGCACCCTCCGAACTGGGTCGACTCCTTCGTCAGTGCTCTCTTCCTGCCTCGCTCCAGCAGCAGCTTCCACACACACACCCTTGTCTTCCTTTTAGCAACGAACCACCTCATGGGCTTACAAAGGGAGAAGTAGCGATGACCCCCGGCAACCAGCCAGCCTCCGCAGTTAGTGACCGACCGCCCGCCTGCCAGTCTTGCCTCCTCCACAGATCCCTGCCCATCTGCAGCCCCGATGACTGTGAAGACAATCTCAGAAGTCACTGGAGTGGACCTCTAGGAGAGAGACACTCGTTTCTGAACAGATGAGCACACTACCATCACACACACCAACACAAACCTGACAGCAGTGCCTCCAGCCCACCCGACAGGACACCGGAGGGCTCCAAGGAGTGTGTGGGGCAATGGACTTAGACGATCATGGAATTGGCCCTGAACTTTTTAAAGCCCCCTCTTAAGTCAGTGGACACAGCGCCTGGGTGCTTCCTAACCTGATTCTTCCTGACAGTTGGTGTGTTTGATTCGGGGGCCACATAAGTCCCCCACCCACGCCGGCCATGTGATTAGCATGTCAGTTCAATACAGTGCTTCTCAAAACCGCCGTGAGGCTTATGAGGACGGACTGTTGGGCCCACTCCCGGAGGTGCTCGCGCTCTGCTCGGCCGGTTTGAGGGGAGCCTGGGAATCTGCATTTCTAATAGGTTTGCAGGTGGCGCAAGGGCCCAGGGTACAGCCTTTGAGGACTCCTAGGAAGCTGCAGGTGCACCCCCCCCAACCTTCCCTTGAATGACAATGCTCCAAACTTGTTATACGTGTCCTGCCCCAGACTCAGAATCCAGCGATTTCTCTTAGGAGGCCGAGTTCCTCCCGGTGGGAAAATTAAATCACCACGGGGCACAAGGGGAGCTGCTTGGTGCGACTGGTCCGCACTTCTCAAGCTGCTTCCAGGGAGGGCGGTAGCCACACGGGTATTTCTGATTCAAAGGCAGTGCTTACGGTTCGCCATCAATTTGGTAGTTCTCTCTTAGGGGGAGTGTCTCAGTGGCTAACAAAATGCACACAGAGAGTTAACTGCATTATCCTAAATACAAAAGCTCCACAATATCAGGTCTATCACAATGAACAACGTACTCACTAAGAAAAGGTTCCTTTGTCCCCCAGGGAGTTCGTGTGGGGCGTGCGCCCCGTTATGTGCTAGAGTCCCTGACACGTTTCCTTGTGCGTGACACATCCTGCTGGCAAGTTTTAGAAACCGTGTTTTCCCATTTTAATTTATAATTAGATGAAGGACCTGCATAGTCTCAAAGTCAATGTTACACAGTCTCCAAGGTCTACTTGGGGAAATCCTGGTCCCTCCTTTCTCTTAGTGCCCACTTAGGAATAACCTATGCATAATGTTACTGTCTACCCTCCCACTGAAAAAAATGATATTAGCAAATACACATGTAGTTATCTAGCCCCCCCCCCCCTTCCTGGCAACTCTGTCTGGATAGACGGATGCACAGGACCCTCTCTCTCTCTAAAGCAGGCCTCAGGCCGCTTCGACTGCCTGGGACGGTGTCTTACATGCAACAGGCAGATGAATGATGTTCAGAGAGATGACCAGGGAGCTAGAAAAAGCAGAGGGGTTGCTTGCTGGGGGAAATACAGAAGTCTGCTTTACATACATTTCACACACAGCAAAAGGCAGTGACAGAAAAGTGGCTACAGACAATTTAACACCACCCGGGAGGTCTGTGTACACCAGCAACATCAGAGAAGCCTCTTGAAGGTCCTGTTGCCGGCTCAAAAGTTCTGTGGTGCTAACGCAAGCACAACCAATTGGCTGAGAACCCCTCAGAACGCGAGGCACCCATCAGGAGCACTGGCCGGTAGGGGCTAATCTGCAGGGAGTGGGGATGCATGGGGCCTTAAAGATAAGCATCGGGCCTGCATCCCAGCCACCAGACAGACAGACCCGGTCATGCACAGAGGATAAAAGCCACAGGCAGGGTCTGTGCTCAGGGTCAAATGTCTAGCCTTAAGAACTAGCTATACGACCTCTTCCCGCAGCAGCCTGAGGAAGTCTGCCCAAATGGTTCACTACTCACTTGACTCAGAAAACCCCACAAAATCATGCAAACCTAGAGGGCTGAATCTTCGGGTCCATTTTAAGAACACCCGCAAAACTGCTCAGGCCCTCAAGTGTTTAAAAGACATCATTATGCGGAAGCGGTGTGTTCCCTGCCGACATTGTAACGGTGGAGCTGGTTGGTGTACACAGGCCAAAAAGCAAGGCTAGACCCAGGGTCGGTGGCCCAAAGGCGTGAATCTTTGCTGCACATGCTTAAAAATGCAGAGAGCCCTGTTGAGCTTAAGGGTTTCCATGTGGATTCTCTGGCCACTGAGCACATCCAGATGAACAAAACCCCCAGATGCATGGCTGGACCGGCAGAGTTCATGTTTGGATCAACGCACACGTGAGCTCCCCTGCCACACTGAAGTGATCCTGCTGAAAAGGCATAAACTGCATCTAAACCAGAAGAGGAGGGTGCTCAGGGGAAAAAAAAAAAACTCCCAGAGAAAACTGAAGAAGCAAAAACGTATAGCTCAGGAATAAAGTAAGCTTAAAATAAAAATTCAAAAAAAAAAGAACTATATAGGGCAGGGGCTTGTTTGGGGTATGGGAGGAAATTATTCACTCACTCATTCAAAGCCACGTGTCTAACCTTTGCTGTGTGGCTCTGTGGGCTGGGCTGCCCCAGGGAGAACGAGGAGGCTGTAGAATTACCACACTGGAAGCCCTAGACAGGGTCGCTAGTCCTCAGGATCAGCTTCCTGGCAGTGGGGTTTGTTTGGAGGCCAGGCAAGAGCCCTAAAAGCAGCCACCGTAGCGAAGCCCCGCCCAGAGGAGGGGTGGCTCAAACCCATCAGCTGCTCCCTAGGGACAGACATGGCAGTCAGGTGCTAAGAGTTACAGCCTTGGAAGCCTGTGCGGCTGGGAGACAGAAAGGAGGAGAAGGCAGGGGATTCGGTTTCGCTCTTTTTTTGGAGGCATGTCCCCTCTGGGAAAAGCCAAGCAAACAGACAAGAAACACTCTTTGGGCTGGTAGGGGGCTGGGGAGGAAGGGTGAGGGTTTGCTGGCTTCCACGCCCACACGGTCCTTCTCTTTCTAACTCCTGCGCTTCCTCCCTCTTGGCCTCTCTCACTCAGACCCTCTGACTCATCCCCATCCTCACACCCGCAGGTGGGCTCAGCTCAGCTCACATGTGACTTGAAAGTCAGAAGAGCAAAGGCTCCCCTGAGTGAGTGGCCTGGCCGTGCCCTGTTCTTCTGCATCCACCAAAGTGAGCAAAGCGACAAGGACTGGACAGGCACTTCCCTGCGCAGGGGGCATCCAAACTTCCTCCCCAGGACCCCAAGAGACAACTCGCTGGCAGGCTGGCTCATCGACACCTTCAGGGCAGAGAGGTCAGGGCAGAGAGGGGCGCCTCACCGGCCACTTCCTTGCCATGTCTTACAGATCTGAGAGCTGGCGAGAGAGATTTCACTAAGCGAAGTAAGGACCCAAATGGGAAGTTGGCGGGGCTGCAGTAAATGAGGGCGCCATCCTTCTTTGCCTGCATGCTCCTCCTTTCAGGGCGGGTTCTCTGATGCTCATGCTCCCTGTCCTCACAGGCCTGCAGCTCCGGACAGAACTCAAGCCTGTCACATTCCTGAGTAGTTCAAACAGGTGCTGAACAAAGCCCACTCAATATGGCGATGAAAGCTATCAACAGGAATCAGAAGCGCCAGAGAAAGCAGCTCATGTGAAAGGGGTGTTTGAGTCGAGAAGAATGAGCTAGTCCACGCGGGGCCACGGGGACTCAGAGCTTCTAAAATAAAAGAATAAACTTTGGTTCCGATATTTCCGCTTTCAAGTCAGGTCTGTCACCTTGAGTAGACAGCTCAACTCCCAGAGTGTGTTTCCTCCCAATAAGGTCCAACCCGACAAGATGCGCTAGGGGGCCGGTTCTCAACCTTCCTGATGCCCTGACCCTTTCATATAGTCCCTCGTGTTTTGTTTTTTAAATCGTTTTATTAGGGGCTCATACGACTCTTATCACAATCCATACATACATCAATTGTGTAAAGCACATTTGTACATTCAATGCCCTCATCATTCTCAAAACATTTGCTCTCCACTTAAGCCCCCGGCATCAGGTCCTCATTTTTGCCCCTCCCTCCCCGCACCCCCCTCCCTCATGAGCCCTTGATAACTTATAAATTGTTTATTTTGTCATAGCCTGCCCTGTCCGACGTCTCGCTTCACCCTCATGTGGTGGTGACCCCCCCAACCCTAACATTATTTTTGTTGCTACTTCATCACTGTCATTTTGCTACTGTGATGAATCTGGCAATCCCCGTGAAAAGGTTGTTCAACACCCAAAGGGGTGGAGATCCATGGGTTGAGAACTGCTGCGCTAGAGGAAGGGGCACAATCCGGTCAGGGCCACAGGCGTCTCCCCTCCTCTGATGTACAGCTGTTGAGGACCAGGCCCCTGGAGACTAAGAGACACACACAGCTCCCTTCCCCAACACCCCCCACCCCGCACTGTCTGCCCGACTCTGACCCCACGGGTCCTCCCCTACCTGCTCACAGTGGTGGGTACACTGGCCATGTGTGGGGAGCGAGACTCTCCAGAAAAGCTTCAACAGCCGCGAGGCTTCTCCTAGGATGCATTTGGCTGTGTCCACGCTGGTGATGAACCTGCTCAGGGGCGCCGAGTGTGGGCCCTACATGGGTGGATGAGAAGGGGGTTACACGCAGTCTTCAGGGAGAGCACGGTGCCAGAGGACAGCAGTTTATCGTGCTTGAAGACGGTGAATCCACATAGGTGATAGAATTGTGTTGAAGATCTTAGGCTAACCCGTAACCGTGATTAATAAGAACCAGCGCTTTCTGTGTGTTATCACCCACCAGGAGGGTCCTTGATGGGACCATTCACCCAGCTCGGCAGCCCACGGAGCTCTCTGGGAGGCAAACACCACAGCAAGAGCAGCAGCACACACACATTGTTCACTGTGCTTTGTTTTGTTGTGTGCAGTCCTGTCAAATGCCTCGGCTTAATGCGAAGATAAATCTTAGGGCCTTGCAAAGTCTCGCCTCCCCTCCACGGGCAGAAGCAAACTCAACTTGATGGGTTGGCAGGGGCATGAGCACACAAAAGACATAACTCAGAGAAGGGGGAGTAGAAAGTTAAAAAGAAAAAAACAAAATTGAAAACCTTTTGTCTTCACAAGTAATAAAAATAACACAAACTAAAAGGGCATAATCTTTTTAGCTATAAATTGACAAAGAGCATTATACATAAAAATACTCAATGAAGGCAGGAGCGCAGAGACAGATACTCGGAGAAGCAATCTTGTTGTAAAGTGAGATAGCAATCATTATCCAGAGCCCGAAAAGGTTCACTCTTTGAACCTGCCAAGTCTCACGTCTAGGAGCTCATCCTAAGACGGCACTAATCAAAGATGTGACCACAGTCGCGTGTGCGTGGCTCTGTTTACAGCTCAAATGTCCGATACAGCAGAAAGAGTAAACAAGTGATGGTCTACCGGTGAGTTAATTTGTTTTAGATCCATTCAAGTGCAATTCTAGAAAAAATAATGCGACCAGGGAAAAACGTTCAGAATATGATCTGAACTGAAAGTCACAATATGAGATTCATGTATCTATGAACTAGTGCTGTTAAACTCTATGAACAAATTGAACCTAGACATCAGATCTTGAGCAGCATTGACCTTCGTGTTTTTGTAGACACTTTCTGTTTTACACTTTTCCACAGCATCTAGTTTTCATGCAATACAGATTATAATCAGAAAGAACAATACTTTTATTAATATTCACTAAGTCATTCAGCACATATTTACAAAGCACCTATTCCATGCTGGATCATGTGCAAAGTAGTGAACACACACTATTGTGCGAGACAAACACTATCCCTGCTTGCCTCCAGTTATCTTACTGTCTGGTGGAGGCTAAAAGGTAAAACTACTTTTGACAATATAGCTAGACCAAATAAAACAAGAAGGCGAAGCAGGTATCAAGAATCAGGGGTCTTCAGCAAGGACTGGAGAAAGGGGACTTGAAAACGAGACCCCTATAAGCTCAGAGATCAGGTTCAATCCGGAGGGAAAGCAGCAAGCTCCCAAGCCTTGGAAGAGTGAATGAAGAAACGAATGTCCAAAGCCTGGTTGGTGTGTGGGCGAAGGGTGGCTTTCAATGAGGATTCCAGTAGGATAAAGGCGAGGAGAAGGGGTAAGAAAAGCATGGCGGCCTGCAGGGGTAAATGCACAGGCGACTGGACAGACACACGGCGGACAGATGTGTCAAAGGATAAGTGGGCAGGTGGCTGAATGGTTCAGAGACTAGGCAGAGGCAGTCAATCACTGGCACATGTAGCAGGTTCCAACAAATCTCAACAAATTTCCCCTCAGATGTTTCAATGACTGGTCCCCCGGGTTGGACCTGACCTTCATGAATCACATTTCCTAGGTCCTCTTCTCAGGGCTGGACTGAGACCAGCCACTCCTCCTGCTCTACTGACTCTCAGGCGCATCTCCTCCCCCTCCCCCACCGCCCTCCAGGTGCGCGCTGGATTACCTTTGTGGCCAGCTCTTGAACTGTAGGGCCAGGAGCTTCCTGGATTTGGATATCCATTTCAGCAAGGAGTCTCTGCCCCCAGCTGATCTGCTTACGTAGGGCATTGTAGTCCTCGATCAGGCCCAACACGTGGCAGCCACTCTTGTTGGCCCACAGGTGGTGGCCGGGGACCGGGTGAGGCATGCACGGGCTACCGGTGACCAAGCTGCCACTGTCACAGGAGAGGGAGTCCACGTCATCGCCATAGAGTAGAAGAGTCTCTGAAGCTACAAAATAGGAGGCAGAAAGGCAGGTGCACTGGGTGCAAGCCTCTGCAGAGCTAGGGGCCCTGCAGCTGGCTGGGAGGCTGCCAAGCAGCTCAGCCACACATCAGTCTCCCTTGACACTAGTCCAGAGGGACACTGAGCCTGGTTCCTGGAGCTCAGTGCATAGACTTTCCCTCACAAGGCTTATTCATCTCAGGGGAGACGATAAATACCATCCTACCAGCATTTATGGGGCATCCTCAATGCAGAGGTGTTTGACTCAAGGGGACCCTACAGGGCAGAGTGGAATTCTGTACAGCTTTCCGGAACAGACAGCCTCACCTTTCACCCATGGAGTGACTGGTGGTTTGAACGGCTGACCTTATGGTTAGCAGCCTAATGCTTAGCTCAGGGTGCTAGCAGGGCTCTTTACCCTTCCATGGAAGACTTCATTCACACAAAGGAGCCAAGCTGAGTGTCGCCCAGGAGGCCGAGGTCCTGGGGGAACAGAGATAGAGGAGGGAGGCAGAATAGCATAATGATGACAAGGCCAAGCTCAGAGCAGAGAAGAACCAGTTCCCGTGCAGGGAGCGCTTCCAAGGAGAAGCGCTAATTGGACTGGGCTGGACTGGCAGCGAGTATTAGGGCAAAGAGAGTAAACTTGTGTTGCCTCTTCACCTAAGGATGCCCACAGGAAAGGCACCTCACAGCATTTGCACTTGCGCTGGGCCGTGAGGGAGTCATAGGGTTTTCAGTGGCAGAAGATGGAACCAGGAATGGCCTGGAAAGAAGGGAAACCACACAGCAAAGTCACAGTGAGAGGAAATGCAGGCTCGTCTGTCAGATGGGGAGCCACCCTTGTGGCTGCACGTGGGCTGAGGACGAAGGCAGAGAGGCCTGCTGGGGCCAGACTACAGAGATTCCACACAAGCCACGCTACAGTGCACGCAGAGTTCAGTCTAGGGCAACAGGGCCAGGATGACATCGCTGAGGGGGGAACACCTGTGGATGGATTGACCGGTTTAGAGAAGATCAAAATAACCCAGTAGTGAACGTGAACCAAATACTGTCTTGAGTTGGGACCCGAAACCCCTTTCTCTTCCATTCAAAAAGTCGTCCTGCTGTGGTCTCACAAGGCCTTCAGCGTTGTACCTGATTTGGGTGGTGCAGCCAGGGTGGGATCAAACAGATCATTCGGCTCCTCATTTAACACGGGACATCTGTTACCACCTGTAAAATGCAAAAACACAGGAAGAAAAACAATGGTCCAAAGTGCTCACAAAACAGAAGACATTATTAAGACATCAGAACTACCCAAAACTATCTACAGAGTCAACCCAATTGCATCAAAATTTCAACAGACTTCTTTGCAGGCATGGCAATCCTTGAAGGTCTATGGCCCTGCAGGCAGGCCCCACTAACCAAATCGATCTTGAAAAAGAATAGAGGAGGAGGAGGAGGAGGACGACGTCCCAATCTCAATATATATTACAAAGCTACAGACACCAAAAGTCTGGTATGGATATGATTGACATATAGACCAATGGAAAATGACTGTGTATGCACAGTACTAACACAGAAAGTGTTTTGTGTCATCATGGGTTATGCATTGAGCTGCTAACCACAGGTCAGTAGTTCGAAACCACCACCACTATACATGTTATAATTATGGGCAATCTATGAGACAATGGTAGTACATATATATATATATAATTACAGTAAATACATTAAATATATTAAAGAGCACGTGGGAGGGGGGGAAACTTCACGAGGGGGGTGAGTTTTATTTCAAAGTAATCCATATTTGCATAAGAATTGAATGAGAATAAAGAAAAACAACTTTATACATTGGCTCCTTTACACACACAGATGCACACATTCATTCACCATGCAGGACGCAAAGAGTAGAGGGAGACCAGGCCCACCTCCTTCCCCTAGATGAGCCCATGTGTCCAGGCAGGTACAGGGCGGGGAGTGGGGAAACAGCAATTATTTCCCCTCACGGAGGGGAGCTGGTCCCGACCCGACTTCCCCAAGGCTCACACCTGCATTGTGTTTTAAGACTGGGTGTGAGAAACCCACGGGGACAGGGAAAGCAGGGTGGGGAAGAAGATCCCAGGCAGAGAAAGAGCAGCAGAGTCACAGTGGAGGGAGCTGGGTGTCACCAGACTGGGGGCACAGCCGTACAGGAAGCTGGCATGGGATGCAAGCTAGAACTGTGAGGGTGGCAGGGACTCCCTCATGGACTGCAGGCAGGGCAATGTCCACCCAGGCCCTGGGCTCAGGGGCTGGAGGGGCTGGTCTGCAGGCTGTCATAATAACCCGAGCCAGAGAGGAGTGACCCAAAGTAGGATTGGGGGCATGGGGGGGAGGGCTATGAATTTTCAACATTGTGCGCTATTACATGACGGGTGTGGCATTGCCTGACTTAGAAAGCCCTCTCACATCTCAAGTCCCAACAGCTTAGAAAGCAGGACGGGATCGGGCATCAGAGTCCTGGGAGAGGAGACCCAGAGAGGACTCGATCTGCCATCAGCCCCCAGCACATGTGGGTATGGCAGAACAGGAATGGTGCCAGGCCCGAAGAGCCCCAGTCTGGGGAGCTCCTCCCCACAACGGCAGGACGGAGAGCATGGTCCTCTGCCAAGCACAGCCGATGTCCAGAGCAGAGAGAAAGCTGCTGCCTGCGATGCACTGCTTCTCCTGAGGGCGCAGAACCGCGCTGTGGAAGCACGACAGGGGGCTTGCAACACTCCCACCACGAGGGCTGACTGCAGCTGGTCTTCAAAAGCTGGCACAAGCTGCGCAACGGGGCCAGGGTCGGGAGTGGGGCACCCAGCTTCAACCCCCCAGTCCACACCCTCCATCCCCTTGGTCCCGCCTCCTCACAGCTCTACAAAGGGCCAGAGGCCCACCCAGTGACGCTCACTGTGCCTCTGTACAACGCTCTGTGTATCCAAGCAGAAGGCAGCGTGACATCTGTCCAGCCCTTTAGAGTCCCCCAGCCCCCGGAGAAGGGATTTATCCTCATAAAACTGCTTTAACATGAAAAAGCTTATTAAAAGCCCCATATCAGAGACCACTTTCATCATCGAAAAGAATAGCGTAATGGTTTAGTGACCAAGAAGAATAGTCTGCAAACAGTAACTAGGAAGCCCATGTAAAGTTAGGGACAACATCGATGGTGTCCTAATGGGCCCAAACAAAGAGGGCAGAGGCTGGCCCCAAACCCAATGTGCACAAGGCCTGCCGTGATGAAGGGATGAGAGAACCGTGCACACCCCACCCTGGGCCGTCGGGATGGCCATCCCCTGACAAGCAGGCTCCTTCGGGAAAGCAAAGGCGCGTCCGGCTCCAGTTGCTGAGTCACTTTGGGCAAGCCCCTCCCTGTCTGGGCCTCCGTCCTTTGTCTAGGGAATACAGACAATGGCCCAGCTGCCTGACTTGGGCCTGGCCCCGGCCGGCTGTTCAGCGTGAGCAGCACCTCTGCTCGGCTTCTGACTGCTGCCTGGTGTGGAGAGGAGAGACGAGCCAGACATTACACTGCAACCCGGCCCCACTTTCACACTTGCCAGGACGCCCCGCCCAGGCTCGGAGAGACTGAACACCGAAAGAAGGGCTACAGATTTTTACAAAGGCAGCGGGGGGCTAGACAGGATTTCCAGTCAGGGAGCAAGGTGAACAGAGGAGCAGGACCAGGGGCAACACGGGCTATTAGAAGCCCAAACTGCACTGCCCTGGGAAGCAAGAGGCCCTGGACAGAAGATACCACTTTGCCAAAGGTGACAGCTAACTAGCAGCCAGGCCTTGGCTTCCAGGGCACACAGTGCCAGCTGCCAAGGGAAATACACCCCCGGGGGCCAGGGCCTCACTGGGCAGCTCAGCTCCTGTAGCATGGGCCGGCTCACAAAGAAGTGAGGGGGAGGCAGGTGGCGGCCGTGTCTGTCTGGCCCCAGGGCCGCTGGGGGCCGGACGGGGCTTGGACAGCTCAGGTGCCAGCTGCTTCCGGTGCCTTCCTCTCACCCTGCGCCAGCTGCTCCTCCAGTTTGCTCTGCAGGGAGCGGTTGGTGTCGATGCTCCTCTCCAAGTGCGCCCGCAGCATCTGGATCTCTCCCAGGAGGCCATGCAGGTCACCAAAGGGGCCCTGGCCCCTCCAGCCTTCGCCTGACGCCTCGGCCCGGGCCTCTGCGAACACACCCAAGGGAAAAACTTAACATCTCCCGTAATCCAAAGGTCAGCCTGCAAAGCAACTCAAGAGCATTTTAAACCTGCCACTGCCATCACCCTCCCCTTCCGGAGAACGAGGTGCAATTTAAAATAACAACTAGACGTTAAAAACAAAAATATTGGCAGACTTAATTGCTGCTATTCCACAGGCTAAATAAGAGCTGGAAATTAATTTTCACTTCTGGCTATAAAAGCCTAGCAAATTGCACACCAAACCCCGAAATTATGTCTAGTACTAATAAAACCTATTTGGGCTGGAATTATAGACTGAAAGGGGCTGATTTTAAGGCTGCGGTGTATTAAAAAGGCACAACAGAAAGAATCAGAAAAGCAACGTGAGGAGAACATGAAATCTGTGAGATGACCCTTCCTAGAGAAGCTTTCAACAGGGAGACACCGTCTGGAAAATTAATTTAAAACAAACAAGCAAACAAGAGCCCACCACCCCTCCAAACTGCTTCTGAAACATTCGGGCTTAGCTGAGTCTCTCCCACTGGTCGCTCTCCCAGGACCAGCGAAGAGCAGGGCTAGCCACCACCTCCAGGGCAATGGCCGGCACAGGGCAGGTACTCAGTAAACAGCTGCTAAGTGAAGGGGCTAGAGAAACCACACGCACAGACGTGACCTGTTGATAGCCTACTATGTGCCAGGCACTATAATAACGGGTTTTAAATAAATGAGCTCTTAATTTCCACAACAACTCTTCAGAACAAACAGGTCTCACAGAAAAAGAAATAGGCCCAGAGAGGCCAAATGACCTGCTAAAGGTCACACAGCCGAGAAACGAGGGTATCAAAATCTAGATCCCTGCTGACTCTGGAGGCAAAGTTTTTCTGTGTCTCCTGCTGCTTCATTCAAAATAGACCTGTCCCACCCGCAAGGCAAACGTAGGGCTTGGAAGTGGTATTCAGGAAGGAGTTCAGAAATCAGTCTTCTGGCTGAATTGGGGGGGAGGGGGGTGTATGGTGTGTTCAGAGGTCAAACCAGGCCACTCCCAGGGGAGAGGGCCGCGGCTCAGAGCCCGGTACCTCTCGGGCGCCTGTGCTCTTCATCCAGCTTCTCATACACCTTCAGCTCCATTCGCAGGGACTGGAGAAGCTCGTCGTTCTGTGAGAGCAGCTGCTGCCTCACCTTCACCTCCTCCTGGGCCCTGAAAAACCCCCCGACCACACGCACAGGAGGTTAGTTCTGATGGACTATGGCGTATGCACACCGCCCCGCCACTGGTCAGAAGACTGTAGCCCAAAGCAGCAAGTGGGGACATGAATCTAAATCCCAGCCACTTTGCCCAAGTGCCCTCCGGGTCCCTGACTGTACTAATGTTATCTACAGGAACCTTCACAGCCACCGTCTAAGGGAGGTGCCAGCAATCATCCGTTCAGAGGTGGGAAGGCTCTAAAACAGCGGTTCTCAACCTGGGGGTCGAACGACCCTTCAACAGGGGTCGTCCGATTCCTAACAGTAGCAAAATTATAGTTATGAAGTAGCAATGAAAATAACGTTATGGTTGGGGTCACCACCACATGAGGACCTGTGTGAAAGGGTCACGGAATGAGGACGGTGGAGAACCGCTGCTCTAAAAGGACTGTTCGACCCAGGGATACTCAGCCGGGAAGAGGAGCCAGGACTGAAACGCTGAAACCCGGAACTGACGGCTATGAGGCCTCTAATAATCTTGCTAATTCGCTGAGCTGGAGAGCCATGGGCAGGGCTGCTAAGACCAAAATGAATTCTCTGTGTTGTGAGCTCTTATCTCTTATCTGTACCTGTGCACATGCTCCGGTCTAGGCCACAATGAAAGACAGGGCTGGGTTGAGGAGGAGTGGGGGGTGAGGAAGCCTCAAGGAACCAAAGGAGCATTGTGTGTTTCATCGGTGCTATACTGCACCCTGGTCGACTCATTCCTTCCTTGCGACCCTTCTGTAGTGAGGTGATGTCCCATTGTCTACAGATGGGTTTTGGGTCTCTGCTCCGACCACCTCATTCTCAACAATCTAGTTAGTTTTTGTTTGTTTGTTTGTTTGTTTTGAGTCTTCTGATGCCTCTGACCCGACCCTGTGGACACCTCATGATTGCACAGACTGGTGTGCTTCTTCCATGTGGGCTTTGTTGCTTCACTGTTGGATGGCCGCTTGCTGACCTTCAAGCCTTTAAGACCCCAGACACTGTATCTTTTAATAGTCGCGCACCATCCGCTTTCTTCACCACATTTGCTTCTGCCTCCATTGTGTGTCTTCAGCGATCATGCCAGAAGGGTGAGCATCATATCATGCCAGTTGGCTACAACTGTTCTTGCATTGAAGGAGGGCTTGAGCAGAGGCCCAAAGTCCATCTACTTCCTCAATGGACTGCCATATAAATACATGTAGATAGGCCAATACCTCTATTTTTATGAATTAATGTATTTATATATGTACATACCTATGTTTATACCTCCATCCAAAGCTTGCTTCCTAGATCTTTCCTGTTTCCTTTTACTTTCCTCCTGCCCCACCATCATGCTCGCCCCTCTTTTGCCTCTTAGTAATTCCTCTCAGCTAGATTGCTGTTGCTCCAACACCCCCAGGATCTCTCCGTCCTCCCCCTCCTTGTTGATTTCAAGTCCCCAGTTGCTCCTCTGTCTAAGGCATTGTTTCTCACCGTTCCCTTCCCCTGCTCCTCCTGCCCCCAAGTCCCTCCAGCACCGGTAGTCCCGTTGCTTTCCCCTCAAGCTTGCTCCCCATCCTATCTTATACAGGGAGGCAAACCAGTAATAACACAGGGAAAAAAACAACAAGAAAACAAAAGATTGAATAAAAAGAGAAAAAGAAAAAGGAAAAAAAGATAATAATAATAACTAGGGGGAAAAAACAGAACAAAAAAAGCATACATAATCCAGGAACAGGAATGGGAGTAGGGATACCAGGAGGGTAGGAGGAAGGTGGGGAGAAGAGGGGAAGAAGGGACAACTAATCAAAATGATTGACACATAACCCCCCCCCCTCGGGGGAACAAACAACAGAAACCATGGGGAAGGGAGACAGCGGATATTTGAGCTATGAAAATAATAATTTATAATTCATAAAGGGGTCACAAAGGTGGGAGGGGGGATGGAGGGGAAAAAGAGGAGCTGATACCAAGGGCTAAAATAGAAAGCCAATGTTTAGAAAATAATGATGGCAATATATGTACAAATATGCTTGATACAACTGATGTATGAATTCTTATAAGAGCTGTAAGAGCCCCCAATAAAATGATCTTTTAGTTGGGGGACAAAAAGATTAAAATGAGAGGCATTCATGAGTACAGGGCAAGAACTACTAAAAACACAGAAAACAACACAGCTTCGGGGGTGGGGGGGAGTACAGCAATGTAGAAGTGTAATCAGCATGGTCCTTGCACACTTGGCCCGGCTCCTGTCACTCCTCTGCTGACAACTCCCAGGGGCTTCTTCACTCGCTCACAGCAGCAACCAGAGCCCTGACAGAAGCTACCAGGTGCTGCATGATCCAGCACCCAGGTGCCTCTGCCTCGTTTGCTCTAAGAGCCCGTGCCCTCCACATGACTGGCCTCCCTGTTCTGCCCACCTCAGCCAACGACTCTCTGCCTCAGGGCCACTGTCCTTCAACTGAAAATGACCTTGCCCCGGGAATGTGCAGCGCTCACACCCTCCCGTTTCAGGTCTCCGCTCAAATGGCATCTTTTCAGAGACATCGCCCTCCCCTGGCCCCGATAAGCACACAGAAAGTTACCTCCCGGCATTAAGACCATTTGTCTCCATCCAGTTTTGTCACCATAAGGAGCCCTGGTGCCATAATGGCTAAGCACTTGGCTACTAACCCAAAGGCTGCCAGTTCAAGCCCACCAGCCACTCCATAAGGGACAGATGTGGCGGTCTGCTTGGACAGTTCCACTCTGTCTACAGGGTCTCTGTGAGGCAGAGTCACCCAGGCAGCCGTGAGGTTGGGTTTTCACCACTGTCTGCTGTCTGTCCCTTTGCACTAGGGCAGGGTGAGCACGTTCTGTTTCACGACTGCAGTCTCGGTGCCTCTACCTCCTCAGCTGGCTGCGGCTGGTGTAGATCTCCTGGACCAGCTGCTCGCGGCGCCGCTCCTGCTCGCCGGCTTCCTTCTGCAGCCTCTCGTTCTCGGCCTGCACACGCGCATGCTCCTGCTGAAGGTGCTCCAGGCTTGCAGTCTTCCTGGAGAGGGACTCACGTAATGTTTCATTCTCCTTCTGCTTATCTGCAAACCACAGAGAGCGCCACTGAGAAGGGAAATAGTTTGTTTTGTTTTTTCCCAACCCGATTACGCAAATACAGCACTTTAGCTCAGGCACTCCAAGAATACAGAAGAGAATGAGATTTAATCCGGCACTTATGATTTTGCCATTCCAATTAGCTTATGCATTTTGGTCAGATAAATCTGTCGATATCGAGGCTGCAGACTAAACATCACTCAGATGAAATAGACCTGTTAAATCTTCTCTTAAATAATGGACCAGGAAAACCTAATGTCTTTGCCTTCAGGGATCAAATAGGGTAGAAACTACAGGTAGAGGCAAGCAAAAGGGCCCCAAACTCTGGCATCATCCACGGACGCCAATCCGGAGCCTGTTTGCACCGCTAACCTAACGTGTTATCTCCTCTCCTCCATCCACTGACACCCTGGCTCATCCCAACTCATCTTTTGCCTCACAGCTGAGCACAGCCTTTCTGGGGCCAGGATGCCTTCTCCAGAGCCCTGAGCTCCCCATGCATGCCTTCTCGTGGCCAGTCATCATGCAGGAAAAGCCAGATCTCACTCACTTCTCTCTGTATCAGAGTCTATACAGGACTGGATATCAAACCAAAGCCAGGAAATATTTGCTGAGTGCTGAATCATTTGCAGAAGCCTCCGTTTCACATCCTAAACACCTATACATTTGCCTTGTGTGCCCCTCCACCACCCCATATATGTGGTCACTTGGCAGGGCCATTGTTTAGTATTATGCAGCTGTCCTCCCTTTTGCGATATGATGTAATCACCCTATGCATTGTATTTCCTCACTTCTATGACACGAATGGGGCAGGATCAGACACAGTTATATTAATGAATGCCGTCTACAGTATTAGGGTCTATCCTCAGTCAATCTCAGAATTCTAAGATATAAAAGGCATCTGAGCAGAAAGAGAAACTTACTACCACCAAGAAGGAAGAGCCAAGAGTGGAGTGGATGTATATCCTTTGGGCCCAGGGTTCCTGTGCTGGAAACCTAGTTCCGGGAGAATATGGAAGCCAGAAGGCACAGGCAGATCTCCAAGAACTCCCAAACCCATAGCTGGTGAAAGGAGACAAGGACCTTCCTCCTAATCTGTGCGCCCAGAGAGAGGAAGCATTCCCCAAAGACAGCACCCTGAATTTGGACATCCAAACTCCCACCCTATAAGAGAATAAATTTCTGTTTGTTAAGGCCATCATTTTGTTATTTCTGTTATAGCAGCCATAGATGACTAAGACATAGCCCGGGGTCAGCACTGACATTCTCTAGGGAAGGTGAAGTTGCCGCAAGTTCCAGGTGCACCACCTTTTTAGTTCTCTGACTACAGGCTGGTAAACTCGTTAAACCTCAATGTCTCACCTGTAAAATAGGGCTAATAATACTCGGTCCCAGAAATGTTATAAATACTGAAAAAAACAAGCCAAACTCACTGCCATCCAATTGATTCCGACTCACAGTGAGTGATCCTACAGTGCAAGACAGGACTGCCTCCTGTGGGTTCCTAGACTGTAACTATTGACAGGCGTAGAAAGCCTCGTCTTTCTCCCTCAAGGTGGAGAGATAATATAAATAAAAGCTCTTTAAAGGTTTCTAAATTCCAAATGGAAGAAATTAAGGAAAGGGCTCTTTACAAGAAATACTAGGTATACTTTGCTGATGTTACATGGGCAAGCTTTGCCAATGATATGAAATTTCCAGGTGAGAACTTGGCAGTAATACATTTCCTGTCCCACCTCTTCCACTGGGTACCAAGACCAATGAGATGTGGCTATATATAGAGGATGAGAAAAATCTCACTGCCATGGAGTCGATGCCAACTCACAGTACAGAGTGAACTGGCCCTGTGAGTTCCATACAGTAACTATTTATGGGAATAGAAAGCTGTCTTTCTATCATATAGGAGGCAAGTGGCAGAAAAGTAAGTAATAATTACTGAGCCTTTCCTGTGTTACAGTTACCATGCTCATGTTTTCAATCATGTAATTGTCACGCTCATCCTGTGTGATACACCCAGCTCACAGATAAGGACATGGATGCTTAGAGAGGCTAAGCGAGCTGTCCACAGTCACAGGATCTGAACCTCGGTGGGTCAGGCCCCAACCCTGCACTCTCTCCACTGCGACACCACGCCAGGCTCTGGAGCACCAGGCCGCAGCTGCTCCCGTAATCCTTACCTCTGGACCCTTTGGCAAGCATCATATTGAGGCCCTGGTTCTGCTTCCTCAGGAACTGAATTTCTGATGTCAGGGAATTATGCAGCTCTGAACCACAGGCAAAAGTGTTTGCAGAACCTGTGGAAGCACACAAACAGTGATGTATGTGCAGACTCCAGATCAGTGTGGATGGAACCTCAAGAAAAATGTAAAAAGTGTTAAGTAACGAGGAAGCATAATATGCAATGACAGCTACTTCTGTGAACCAAGTGCTACCCGACCCAAAGGGATGAGAGTGAGTGAGCTTTAAAGAGGGTGTCCACCCCCACCTGTTAGCTGTCCATCCTAACGAGGAGAACAACAGGAGCTCAGGGGGTGGGGGGGTGGGGGACAGGAAGGGGCAGTTCAACCACCACAGATGGCTCTCCTGTGCCCTACACTCATATCCATCATCTCTCTCCACTCACCCCGACAAACGCTCACGTTCTTCACAGACATCAGGACTTGTATGGCGGATCTAGCTGCCTTCTTCTTTTTATATTTTTTCAAATTGAGTACTTGGTAAAAGTTTGCTCAGAAAGTTAGCTCTCCACTGAACAATTTCCACACAAGTTGTGTTTAAGGCAGCTCAGGGAACTCTCGTCACCTCCCCCTCAGCTCTCCAAACTGGTCTCTCCCTCCGGTTCCCCATCTCTCCAGAATCCAAGCAAGAAACCCAGGCGCCATCTGAACCAGCGCACTCATCCTTATCCCTCAGCCAATCAGGACACTGCGACTGTTAACGCTTCCTCCAGAATGCCTTGCTCACTAGCCCAGCCTTCTCGGGGTCCACACTTTGGACCTTATCCCCTTGCTTTAGGCGTAACTCGCTATTACACTCACAGGGGGGGTTACCATCCTAACATGTAGCCCCACTGAGGTCATTCTTTGCTCAGAAGCATCTGATGACCCACAAAGACTATCAGTCACATGAAACACAAAGCTTAAAATTCTTAGCTTAGAATCCAAGAATCTGTTATTCTTACGGCATTCCCTGCTCTCCTTCCACTTGGGCTTTAGCATTCAGGGGTTGAAAATGGGGCATCTCTGTGTCCTAAACGCCTCACGATATAATCACTACCGTCCTTGCAGGTACTATCATATGACAGTGATAGCACTAACCCTTCAGTATGGATTCCACCTCAACGCAAAGAAAACAAAAATCTTCATAGCTAGCTACCACCGGGATAACTAGAGAAAAGACTGAAATTGTCAACGATTTCATTTTGCTTGGATTCACAATCAATGCTCATGGAAGCAGCGGTCAAGAGATCCAAAAGCATTGCAGTGGACAAACCTGCTGCCCAAGACCTCCTTAGTGTTGAGTGCTTAAGGGCACAGCAGTCACTTTGAGGACTAAGGTGCACCTGACCCAAGTCAAGATATTTGCTATCACATCATATGCATGTGAAAGCTGGCCGAGGAAGAGAGAAGGCAGAAGACAAATTGATGCGTTTGGATATTGACCCTATCGTGGACTGTTGGAAGAACAAACAAATCAGTGTTGGAAGAAGCAAGTGCAGCCAGAAATCTCTTAAGAAGCGGAGGCAGTGCTATTTCATCTAACCTACTTTAGATGTATTATGGAGAGAAACGGATGCTGTGATTGGTCAAGCACACAAGCCTCCCAAAAAGAGAGGAAATCCCAAGATGAAATGGACTGGCACAGTGGCTGCAACAATGGGCTCAACTAGAACAATTGTGAGGATGATACGGGACTGGGCAGTGTTTCCTTCTCTATCTAAAGGGTCGCCATCATTCAGTGTCAACTCAACAGCACCCACAATATCCTTTGAAAGAACCAATTTCTGGTTTTGTTGATTCTATTGTTTTTAAAATAGTTCATCCCTAATCTTTATTATTATTATTATTATTTGACTAGCTTTTGGCTTCTTTTACTCCTTTTTCTCCCCTATTTGTTGAAGTTGTTTGTTTAAATTAATGATTTTGGCTTCATTTTTTCTTAATGTAGGCATTCAATGCTATGAACTTTCCTCTGAGTACTGCCTTTGCTGTGTACTAAAGGTTTTGATATATTACGTTCTCATTGTCATTTGACTCTAAGAATTTCTAAATTTCACTCGATTTTTCTTTGACCTAATAGTTCTCTACTAGTATATTATTTAGTTTCCAAGTATATTTCTTCCTGTTGTTAATTTCTAGCTTTATACTCTTATGGTCAGAGAAAATGCTTTGTATTACTTCAATCTTTAATTTTCTTCACCCTTTCCTCTGGATGGATGCCAAAAATTGAATCTTATATGGCTACCTGTTAGCTTCTGAAGTCCCTGTGCTTACTGCTCCCCAGAGGAGGATGTGGACCATTGTCCTTGTGCATTACGCTATGCCGACTTACTTAGCTATCCCCAAAGCCCAGTGACTCATTCCCGCAAGGTGGTTAGTTATGGCTAACACATTTCTTAACTGTGCCCCCTGATTGTTCTACACATTCATGGATATATTTATTTATTTATTTCCTTTTTTTTTTT